GGGAGGGAGGGGAAAAATTAGGACCCAATGTCGGGGGTTTGGATGGAGAGAAAATGTTTTGAGAAACGATGTACAAATGCGCTTTGCACAATTGATGTGTGTATGGATTGGGATAACAGTTGTATGAGCCCCTAATAAAATGTTAAAAAAGAGAAACAAAACAAAACAAAACAAACAAACAAAAAAACAACAACAAAAAAGAAAACAACGAAACCAAATGACAAAAGAATAGCCTGTAAATATTTCAAGGTCTGTTTGTTGACCTTTAGGAGTGTTTTCCGGTAGAGTCTGATGTGGTGTCACCCCCTGGCACCGAAGTCTATTTTTGGTATTCCCTCAGGACTTCCTTGGTCTGTTCCTCTTGCTGTTCTGTTGCACGCCCTTAGTGTTTTGCCTCAGTGTAACGGGTCAGATTGGGCACAATTCCCACCTGTGTCTCCAGTGTTGTCCCTCATAGGGGTATGAGTCAATGAGGGATATTGTGTCTCATAGTGGGGCCAGCCATATTGTCCTCTCTGTGCATTGGTTGCTCTGAGCAGGGATGTCGTCCTCAAGGCTTGGTGGACCAGGATGTGTTCCACTCTCTTTTCCTCTCCCTTCAATTGCTCCTGTGTGGTCTGATCAGACATGTCCCTCTCCCTGAGCTGTAACTTCAGTGCTGCCCTCTGAAGTAAATTCTTCTGGGAGGAAGGGCAGCTATCCATGTAGTTGGGATTGGGGCCAGCCCCTCAGACCTCTCTACTGGTTCCCTGCTTCGTGCCTGTATGTTGCATTCAGGTCTTGGACCACCTGGTTGATGTCTGGTCCCTCTTTCCCTGTGGAGATATAAACATTATCCTCCCTTAGGTGGGTTAGTGCCCTGTTCTTTTTTTGGTCTCCCCTGACACTCCTTTGTAGTTGGCTACTATGTGTATCTCTGGAATTGGTCTGCTCTGCCATACTACCTGGACCTCACCACAGGAATGTTTGTATACAGTAGCTTTTTCCCTATGCCCCTTTTGCATTTTTTTTAAAAGCTTATCTCAGCGGACTCATGTTGTACTTGTCTTACTTTGTGCTTGGCTTATTTTGCTTAGCATAATTTCCTCCAGTTCTTCCCATGCGGCGATGTGCTTCATGTGTTCATCGCTGCTTTTTAACCATGCGTAGTACTCCATTGTATGTATGTACCACAGTTTTTTAATCCATTCGTCTGTTGATGGAAATTTGGGTTGTTTCCAATTCCTTGCAATTGTGAATTATGCAACAATGAACATTGGAGTACAAATGTCTGGCTGTGGTTTGTTTCTTGTCTCTTTTGGGTATATGCCCAGTAGGGGCATTACTGGGTCATATAGTAACTCAATTTCCATCTGTTTTAGATATCTTCAAGTTGATTTCCATAAATTCCAGGACATACCTACAGGTCCACCAGTAGTGGACGAGAGTTCCTATCTTACCACAACACCTCCAACACTTGTTACTTTCTGATTTTTTTAATTGGGCTATCCTTGAGGGTGTTAAGTGGTTGTTTTAATTTGTTTAATCTCACAGTTGTTTTAATTTCCATTTCTCTTATGGCTAATGATCAGAAACATTTTCTCATATGTTTATCAGCCATTCGGATTTCTGCCCTTTTGAAACTTCTGTTCAGTTCCTTTGCCCACCTCCTTAGTGGGCAGTTAGTTTTTTTCTTCTTGTGAGCTTGCAAAGTATTGTAGATTTTAGTAATAAGGCCTTTGTCTGATGAGTCATTGCTAAAGATGATTTCCCAGTCTGTGGACTCTCTTTTTACTCTCTTGGTGAATTCTTTAGATCTACACAGTGTTTTATCTTCAGTATATCCCATTTGTCAATTGTGACTCATCTATATTTGTATCCTTCCCTATTTCTGAGACCCTATGTATTCCCTGTGTCAAGGTTCTTAGGTTTGTCCCAATTCCTTACTTAATGGCTCTAATAGTTTGGGGTTTTACCTCAAGGTATATGGTCCACCTTGAGTTTATTCTTGGGCATGGAGTGAGGTAAGGGTCTTGTTTCATTTTTCTGCAGATAGATATCCATTTTTTTTCCAGCACCACTTATTGAAGAGGGCATCTGTTCCCATTTGGTATTTTGGGGGCCCTTATCAAAAATTAGTTGTCGGTATGCTGATCTTTTTATTTCTGGGTTTTCAACTCTTTTCCATTGGTCTGACCACTATGGCTATGTAATAGGTGCTAAAGTCAGGTAGAGCAAGCCCTCCCACTTTTTCCTTCTTCTTGGGGAGTTCTCTGCTAATTCGGGGCTTCTTCCCTCTCCATATGAAGTTGGTAATCAGTTTTTCCATTTCTTTGAAGAAGGATGATGGTATTCATATTGGGATAGCATTAAACTTATATAGTGCCTTGGGCAGAACTGACATCTTTACTATATTGACTCTTCCAATCCATGAGCATGGGATAGTCTTCCATTTTTTGAGGTCACTCTTGATTTCTTGTAATAGTATTCTGTAGTTTTCCTCGTACAAATCTTTTGGGTTTTTTTAGTCAGGTATATCCCTAGATATTTCAATTTGTGCTTGGCCATTGTGAAGGGTACACCTTTTTAATCACCTTTTCTGTGATCTTGTCTGAGGTGTATAGCAGTCCGATAGACTTCTGTTTGTTGATCTTGCATCCTGCCACTCTGTCATATTTCAGTATCACTCCCAACACTCCACTTGTGGAGTTCTGGGGATGTTCAAAATGTAAAATCATATCTTCTGCGAATAACGATAGTTTCACCTCTTCCTTTGCCAGACAAATACTTTTGATGTCTTCTCTTTGCCGTATGTTGTTAGCTAGGACCTCCAGTATGCTGTTAAATAGAAGTGGGGACAAGGGGCATCCTTGTCTGGTCAACTTTTTCGGTAGAATTGTTTTTATCTTTTCACCATTGATTACCAGGTTGGCTGTTGGTTTTTCATATATAGCTTGTATAATATTGAGGAATTTTCCTTCCATGCCTATCTTCTTGAGTGTCTTAAACAGGAAAGGGTATTGGATGTATTCGAATGCTTTTTCTGCATCTACTGATATTATCATGTGGTTCTTATAATTTTTCATGTCAATGTGGTGAATAATACTAATGGCCTTTCATATGTTTAGCCATACCTGCACTTCTGGTATGAATCCCACTTGGTTATGGTGAATTATTTGTTTTACATGCTTTTGTATCCTATTGGCCAGTATTTTGTTATGGATTTTTGCGTCGTTGTTCATTAGGGATATTAATCTGTAGTTCTTAATTCTTGTGGGATCCTTGCCCAGTTTAGGTATCAGAGTTATACTAGCTTCATAGAAAGAGTTTGGGAGTTTTCCATCTTTTTCTATGTTCTGGAAGAGTTTGTGTGGGATTGGTTGGTAGAATAGTCCTGTGAAGACATCTGGAGCCTCCGGAGTAGGCGTTTCCAGCCATTCATACTTCCAGTTTGTCGTTCCTCTGTTCTCTGATTTTGTGCACTATCTGGTGGAGAAAGTGACACCGCCGCTAGGATGAAGCTTGTAAGGTTTTTGATGAAACTGAGTCATGAAACTGTCACCATTGAATTGAAGAACGGAACACAGGTCCATGGAACAATCACAGGTGTCGATGTCAGCATGAATACACATCTTAAAGCTGTGAAAATGACCCTGAAGAACAGAGAGCCTGTCCAGCTGGAAACCCTGAGTATTCGTGGAAATAATATTCGATATTTCATTCTGCCAGACAGCTTGCCTCTGGATACACTACTTGTGGATGTTGAACCAAAGGTGAAATCTAAGAAAAGGGAAGCTGTTGCAGGAAGAGGAAGAGGTCGAGGTAGAGGAAGAGGACGTGGTCGTGGTAGAGGAAGAGGAGGTCCTAGGCGATAATGTCTCTGGAGATTATTTCAAAGTGTTAAGTGATGTGGGATTTTTTTGTACAGGTTTTGTTTGTTCGTGTCAGTTTTTAATAAACATAAATGTTCCAAGACAACAACAAAAAAAGAATACTTCTGTGAAGCCATCTGACCCAGGGGATTTTTTTGTTGGCAATCCCTTGATGACCTTGTCTATTTCTTCTATTGCTATGGGTCTGTTGAGATTCTTGACATCCATGTGGGATAGCCTAGGGAGGAATTGTTTTTCCAAGTATTTATCCATGTTTTCCAAGTTGTTGAATTCATTACAGTATAGGCCTTCTTAGTACTGTGTAATTATCCTTTTTATTTCATTAAGGTCTGTTGTAATGTCCCCTGTTTCATCCCTAATCCTTGCTATTGAAATTTGTTCCT